AACGCATCGTTAGCAAATCAGACGGCCAACGTACATCAATCAGTCAAGCAGCCCCACTGCGAAAGGTTTACAGACCAGCAAGGAAAACAGCAATCCCCTTGTTTTAAAAAGATCTCTGTTCTGCAATGTATTCAAGTTCAGAATTCCACGGTGGGAACCCGGGGAGCTGAAGGGTGAGGGAGCAGGCATCTGCCGTGGACTCCTGCATCTGCCAGGGCGTGGCTGGACTCCCCACCTTCCCCCACCGCCCGGGGCAGTGAGAGGCTCACCTGCAGGTCCAGAGCTGTCAGCTTGCCCTTGTCGCCTGCGTTGCGGGCATACTCCTCGATGGTCCAGGAAGGCTGGCCCCGCTTCACCTCGGCCAGCTCCGTCAGCCGCATGTCTGTGTACAGAGGGTTGTTCTTCATGTGGGCCTTGAGGGAGGTGGGGTAGGGGTGAGGGCTGAACACCTGCTCGACCAGGAAGCCGTCTTTGGGCTGCTTGGGCAGTCGATGCTGCGGGGGGATGTCGTACTGCCTGTCAGCCTGCAGAGGGGCACAGAGAAGTCCAGGAAAGAGGCACAGGTGCCATCGGAGGTCACAGTGCAACTGCGCGGACGCCAGCTTTTTATCACTAGGCTCTGGAGAGTCCAGGCAGCCAAAGGCAGCTCTTCACAAGTACACAGAAGGTATCTCCATGCTGGGGGACATCCTCTAGGGAAAGCTCGTGATGTTACAGGTACTAGTGTGACCCAACGTTTCTGCGCCAGGGAGAGATTATTTTATCAAATTCTCGCCCCCATGACTGCTAGTACTACCGCTCACCATTCAGGCAAGGAAATGGAGCCCAGACAGACTCAGCGATTTGCCCCAGGGTGCACAGCCACTAGTGAGTAGGCCTGGAATGGAAGCCTGATCACCTGGCTCCAGAGACTTCCTTAACCACTGCAGATCACCGCCCACTCTCTTCTTGACCAGTTTGTGGCTGGTACTGAGGAGAGTGAGATAAAGAGCTGGCTGAAACCACTGACACCATGTTACTGCTCGGGCTGGAAGAAGCCGAGACGCACAGTGCACGCTGGGGGCCTCTAGTGATTTTCAGAGACACCTGCGTGGCCTTCAAGATGGGGGAACAGCCTGGACTACAGCGTGGAGGTAGGCAGTTGCCCAGCATAGCTGACCTTCACTCATGTCCTCAGTCCTTGAGTTTCAAACCAGGGGCTCTGTTCTCCGTGACCCGTTATAACTGGGATCTTCTATTTCAGGCCCTCGGAGCTCCACACAGATGTCACTTTTTCCAGGAAGCACTCCCTGACCCGCCAAGGCTGGGCCAGCACCTATCTGTGGGGCCCCTCAGGACTGTGTACAGAGCCTGCAGCCAGCACTGTCCCTCCGAACTGTAACTGCCTGTTTGTCTCCTCCACTGGACTGTGAGTTCCTCGAAGGCAGGGGACTGTCCTGACCACCTCTGAATCCCCCACACCAGTGATGTCATACCACCAAACAGAAGACATTCCAGTATTTGTTAAAGGGATGGATACCAATGCCATGATGTCGTGCATATGAAATAGAAAGCAAAAAGTTGTGGATGTGGGCAACAGAAAGAGAAAAAGGACAGCGGAAAAAAAAATGTGACAATGAATATATGTATGTTCATGTATAACTGGAAAATTGTGCTCTGCACTGGAGTTTGACACAACATTGTAAAATGACTGTAACTCAATAAAAAAAATGTTTAAAAAAAAAAAGAAAGAGAAAAAGGAAAAATTAGAACGTGAGCGGGGCTGAGTGTTGATAAGCAAGAGGAGAGTGAGTGGGGTGTCAGGAGAGGCGGGAGTCCCCCTGATGAGCTATGTACGAGTGTGTGTGTGTGTCCCCGACCCGTGGACTGGGACCCGGCACGCACGCCCACCCACCAGCAACCCAGACCCGTACCTGTCGGCTCTTGCCCAAACACAGTGTCACGTTTAGTGCTTCCAGACCACCAAGACTGCCGGCACTGATTCAGAGGAAGCAGTGTAAACTTGGCCAAACCCAAACAGGAAACTGAGACTGCCTCTTACTTTCTGGCTCACCAAGCTCAAGTGTCTTCTAAGGGGATGCGCTGATTTTGTTTACTCTGCTCATCACCCCCGCCCACCCCTCAGGGTGCCCTCGCTGCACGCACGCAGGGCCTGCACTGAGCTGGGGGCGCGGGAGGGGGGCAGGTGCCGATAATAACAACTCAACAGCATAGCTACAGTGACTCAAGGGCTGACTGTGTGTCCACCGCTGGCTCGGCGCTGACATGCGGTACCTCATTTCAGCTTCTCAAGACTGCGAGGGTGTAACATCGTCATCCCCACTGCAGATGCGGAAACTCGGGTCAGAGAGGTTAAGAGACTGGCCCAACGTGGCACAGCTGGGAAGTGGCGGAGCCAGGGCTGGAACGTGTTCTCGCTTCTGAGATGGAAAGTCGCCTGCTGCCCACGCCTGCCTCCCCGCTCCCACCCTCGAGGTGTCCGCGTCCTGACACAGCGGTCGCTCTGTGTGCCTGAGATATTTTTAAATGAAAAGCTTGTATCTGCTCTGAACAAAGAGAACTAAAGGCTGGAGATCAGAGGCCAGCGATAGTCCCTTGGGAAGCTTCAAAGGCTTATGAATTAAGAGGCCTTGAGGGACGCAGGGCCGAGACCGGCACAGAGGAGGTGGACCAGACATCCCTGACGGAGGAGTTGCGTGGAGAAGGCCTGACGGTGGGATGGGGCCTGGCCATTCTTGACAATCTGTCCGTATTTGCTGCCTGAGTGAATGAGGGTGGCATTCTGGAGGGGAAACAGGAAGACTCGTCAAGGTGGCGCAGGGCCCAGTCTGGGTGAATGAGAGCCCTGCCCTTGGGGAGAAGTGTGTGAAATTCACCGGGCTCTAGCGGCCTGGCCGAGGAGTTGGGAACTTTTTGTTGAGCACTGGGGAGCCAAGGAAGAGATGGAGCTCTCGGAAGGTGAACATGGTGGCAGTGATGACATGAGAGGAGATGGAAGTGGGGGCAGGTAAGTGAGAGAGGCCAGTTACGAAGCTGCCCCCAGCGCCCAGGTGGGAGGTGGTAAGCGCCTGGACTGGGGGAAGGGAGAGTGGATCTACAGGGAAGGAAACATCACAAAAGATAAACCCACAGGGTTGATAGGCCAAATTGGAGGTGAGAGAGCCCACGAGGAAAGTCAAGGATGAGCGGGGCCTCTTCAGTTTGGGGAGTTGCTAGAATGGTGACCCCAAAATGGGGGTAGGGAGAGGGGAGACCGGCTCTGAAGGAACAGAAAGTCTGGATGGGGCACCCGGCCCGATGGCAGCCATCTGGGGGAACTGGCCTTGAGCAGTGTGAGATTTGGGAGGCAAGCTGGTCACCACCATGGGAAGCATCGGCCCAGAGGTGGTGAGAGCCACACACCGAGGGGGGAGAAATAGGGTCCCAGAAGGAGACAAAACGAAGACAGCTAACCTCAGACGCGAGCAACTTGGTGCCGCGCATTTCAAGTGGATCCTTCTCGAGTTTTTGGCTGTTTCTGTTGGTTTCTGGAGGTGCTGACCTGTTCTAGATTGGACGTGTGGCTGGTTCCGTTTAACCTGATATTTCTATAGAAATGCCCAACCTTTCAAATGCCATAAATGGCCGTTTTCAGGGCTACCTAACACCCAGGGCTCCAGCACCCCGGCCAGACCCTGGCAGCGAAGAGACACGATGGCTGGGCATCTTCTCTGAGCATATCACACCCTGGTTTCTCTCCAACACCACGTGTCATGAGAGGCTACAGAAGAGAGCAGCGGCCGCCCCAGATCCCAGAGGTTCCTTTGGGATCAGGAGAAAAATCACTTATTTACTCTTTTCCTCTGCTTCGGACCCTGAAGACTTCCTTAGGGCCTAGTTTTCCAAGCTTTTCCTCCTTGGCACCATTCAAGAGACTCAGCCTCCCACTCTGGCCTTGGGCATCTGCAGCCACATCGTCTTCACTGCCACTGATGACTGGTCCCCCGTGACCTCAGGAGGCCCTGTGGTCTGTCCACTGACTTTTAGAAGGGAATTGAGATGAGCAACAAATTGCAACGGCATCACTTTGGCCAGAAAGGGTTCCCTGTAAGCCATGCAGAATTAAGAAGAGAAGCCATGAGTCCCACTGAAACAAACCACCCGAACTGCAGGGGACCAGAAAAAGAAAGCATCAGAGTGTGTGTGTCTGCACTCACTCGAGCACTGACAGAAAAGACGTTGGCTGTAAAGATGCAAAAACTCTCCAGCTTCCCTGTAACAGTGCAGGGAAAAAAACCTCAAAAGCAAAGGAAGATATCATATTAAGAGCTGCTGTCCTTGGGTGGTGGAACTGTGAATAATTTCCTTACTTATCCTTTTTTCTTACGAATCAGCTATTGATCTTAAAATGAAGAAAACTCAAGGGTTTAAAAAGGAACACCATGCATGCAACGAAGCGCATGAAAGCGGTGTAGAAGCTGGAGGGCTTTTAAGTCATTCCCCTCATTTTCTTTGCCTGTATCTTGCTGGTTCAGAAAGGACAGGAAAAAATCCTCAGTGATGCGTGTCTGCTCTGCCACCCTCTCCATTCTAAGACCATCAGGTCTCTCACCACCTGTCCAATATCTGAAGCCCCCTGGTGGAACCAACGACAGCCTGCGCTGTCCTCTCTGCTCTAATGTGGAAAGCCTGCTGAATCTGGAAGGGCAACGAGCACACGGAGGCAAAGGCCTCTTTCTTGTATAACGTAACTTTCTAGGCTTGGAAACAGACCACCCTAGGATGAAGCTTGTGCCCCGTTCCAGGAGCTTAAATTTACCTCTTTTGACTTGCGATGCCAGTCCTTAGTCTCTCCGGGGCCTCTGTCTTTGATCTCCTCCTCACTGACGGCCACGCGGCTGGTGTAAGTGATGGTGCGCCAGTCCCTGGGCGAGTTGGAGATGCTGGCGATTTTGGATTCTGTGGCACTGTTCTCCTCCGTCAGAGACCTGGAGGATGGCCTGGTGAAGAGGCTTTTTTTTAAGGCCTTGACGCGAAGGCTTTCGCTGTTGCTTCCACTGGCGTCCGAGCAGCACCAGTCGGCGGTGTTCTCCAGTTTGGGCCCGTGGGGGCCATTGTGTGCCCGGAACATCTGGGGAGAGGTGCTCTCATCGGACAGAGCCTCGCTGGTCAAGGAATTCAGGTCTATCTGCACACTCACCTTCTCGGGTTGCTGCATTTTCTGATCCAATTTGTTGAGTTTGCCCAGGACCTGGGAGATTTCCTCCCGGACGCCTGACAGCGATTCAAGCTTCCGTTCAATTTCACCGATCCTAAGCACCAGTTTGCACACGCTGGTCTTCAGTTCCTCTTCCGAGTGGTGACTGTTTTCAGGCCGGCTGCCCTTTTCTCCTTTGCTGCTGGGGAGCCCATTGGCCATCTTGGTTAGGTTGTGCTCCGGCGAACTGTCACAGTCCGACTTGTGAAGCTGAGACAAGGACCCTGTGCTGTTGTAGCAGGAGGACTGTATCACTCCCGTAGAGCCGCTGATGCTCATGTCATCGAGAAAGCGGAAAATGTCACTGATGTCATCGCTGACGATTTCCGAGTCGTCATCTGACTGCTTCATGGCGTGTCTGTCGCTGTATTTGCCCTGTCCCGAGGCACACAGGTCTTTGCATTTCTTCGGCTCCAGCACGTGCTGCTCGGTCTGGGTGCCCACGCTGCTGGTGTCTGAGCTGGGCTGCCCACCGCTGCAGCTGATGCTCTTGTCTTTAAACTTCTTGATCGGTTCATGCTTCTCCATGTCAACAGGGGACGAGATCTCTTTAGATTTGAGCCCGTTTGGTTTGGCCGCATAGCCGACGGGGAGAATCGGCTGTGGCTCCTTTGGCGTGAGGTAAGCTGGGCGCCTGTCTGGGGTTGGGAAATTGGGGGTCTGGCTGCTGGCATTCGGATAGCAGAGCTTCTCCTCGGAGGGATTTCTATTGAAAAACGACCGTTCAAAGTCAGGGACTTCTTCGGTGTTTAGGCTCCAGCTTTTGGCTGGCCATGGGGTCTGCTTGCCGGGCCGCCCCGGACAGCGCCTGGCCTCCTGGGTCCCCATCACTGGAGTGGGTCCAAAATACGTGGAAGCTTGAAGGTCGTCTAAGCTTTCATGCTTTGCCCGCCTTTTGTCAGGAACAGGGGAGTACATGGGGTTCAGGTACTGGCTGTTGTAGGGTATCTCAAAGCTGTGATTACAGAAAGGCGTCTTGTGGGGCTCTTTTCGGCTCTGGGGCTCCCCGTGCTCACCCTCAGCCTTGTTAGAGGGGCCAGCCAACCCGGGAGACACAGTCATCAGGTTGTGAAAATCCTCTTTGAAGATGTTCCTTTTCTGGACGCAGGACTGGACCACAAAGGGCTCCTCATTCGAAATGAAAGTCTCCTTGATGCCCTGGGTGAGGGGCAGGGAGTCCTGATCGGAAATGGACTCGTTCTCGATGTTCATGGGGAAGTAAGTTCTCTGCATCTCACAGGGCTGGGGGCTGGCCACCGAGTATGGGGCCAGAGCCTGCAGCCTGTCCAGGGAGGCCGCCCGGGTTTTTACCTCTTTGCTGACCCCCAGCAAGAAGTTGGGCTCGGAGGCGGGGACGAACTGCGAGCAGTCCTTGCAGTCCATCTTCCGGCACTTGGACAATTGCCTGGCGGGGTAGCCCCGGCTGAAAGGCCTCTCGCTCAGCTCACAGTTCAGGGGCTCACACTCGGCCGCGCCGCAGAGCTCCGTGTCCGAGCGGCACGAGTCAAAGGACGCCTCCTTCTTGCGCCCCTTCTGCCGGCCGGTGGGCAGCTTCTCCTTGGCGGCGCCCCCGTTCATTTGGATCAGGTTGAATATCGTCACGATGTCTGCAGCCACCATGATTTTCTTTGATTGCTGGTTATTCACGGTGCATTTCATCTTGTCTTTGAATAACGTGGCTGGAAAATTGGGATCGAGACAAGCCGTGTAGAAGAGCACGCTTCTCAGTTTGGCGAGCTGGGACAGATCGAAGCGGGCGCACAGAGATTTGCACAGGTCCTGGTAGGACACCGTGTTTTGCTTGCTGTCCAGTTCCTCCAAGATCTTCACCAAGAAGAGGGACGTTTCCTGATTGGTCTCCATGATTTAGAATTTCAAAGGCTCACTGACAACACTGAAACTTCGAGTCAGCTTCTACGGGGTGACAATATCGAAAAAGAGAAGAGAGAAAAAGAAGATTATAAACACCAGTGGAGTTTGCAGTCGAGCTGGTTATGAACCACATAAAGAAATGCAAGGAAAGACTTTTTAGTGCTTAAAAATGTAGTAAGTGCTTTAAAAATATTTATAACATACCATTTGTAATTCCCTTCCCAGGAATCTTACCTTAAAGAAATTATTAATGACAATGATTTTGCATAAAGATGTTCATTACAATGGTATTTATAATAGTGAAAAAATAAAATATCCAAATAGCAGAGGAATGCATACATACAACAGGTTATGATATACAATGACTTCCTACAAACATTAAAATTATAATAGTGTACATCCTTACAGTGGAATACTACTCATGAATAAAAAAGGAAAACTGCTAGTACATGCAATAACATGGATAAATCTCAAATGTATTGTACTTGAGTGAAAGAAGCCAAACTCAAAAGGCTACCTAATCTATGACTCCATTTTAATGATATTCTGGAAAACAGATCTGTGGTTGCCAGGGGCTGCTTGTTGACAAAAGGACACAGAGAAATTTCCCTGGATGTTGGACCTGTTCCACATGTTGATTGGAGTGGTGGTTACATGCCTGTATGCGCTTGTCAAAACTCACAGAAGGGCACGCTAAAATGTGCGAATTTTACTATATGTAAATTGGACCTTAATTTTAAAATTACACACTGAAGACTTTTTCTGACAAAAGAAAACTGTGGTACAATACTGTGTGAAAAAAATATGAAAATAGATCTGTATATGTAGTAAGATCTTAATTATATAAAATTGTATCTTCTTGGAAATGAAACGGAAAGACAATAATGTACAGGAAAATGTTAATGGTGGTGACCTTTGGGTTGCAAATATGAATTTTCTTTCTCAATTAGTACTCTTTGTTTCTCACTATTTTATTATGTAAATTTTAAAACATACAGCAAAGTTGAAAGAATTTTATAGTGAACGCTCATATAGCCACCATCTGGATTCCACCATTAACATTTTACTATGTTTGCTTTATCACGTATCTATCCATCTATCCTTCATCAAGCCATCTTATTTTCTAATGCACTTCAAAGTAAATTGCAGACATCTGTACACTCTCCCCTAAAGATTTCGTCGTGCACATAATTAACACAAGTCCAATAACTGTGTATAGTTTCTCTTTTAATGTAAGATTTATATACAAGGAAGTGCACAAAACTTAAGTGTGCATCTGCTGAAGTTTTGACAAATGTGTATGCCTGTGTTATAACCAAAACTCCTACGAAGTTCTGGAATGTTCCCCATTGCCCCAGGAAGTTCTCTCATGCTCCTTGCCATTCAACCACAGTTCTTTTTCTTTGATGGGTAACTTTAATATTTTCTTTATAATTTCCCTTCTTTTCCAAAATTCCTACCATGAGCACTTGTTATTTTGTAATTACCAAACAATAATTAACTTTATTTTGAAATGGAAAGAAAAATCAACATTAACAAATCTTGGATGGAAAAATTTTAAATACCAAACCAAAAGCTTAACAAAATTCCATAACAGGAAGTAAAGCTCCTTGTGGATAAAAACGGACCCAGGTTCTGAGATTTACAAGGAAACGTCCAGTTGCACACGTTACCCTCCCAGTCACTCCCTGCTTAGAAAAGGCATTTTGATGATTGCCTGACTTTTTGATTTTAAAGACGATTCAGCCCACACATGGCCAGCCCACTTTCTAGGGAAACAGTGTCTTTTCTTTGGGCTAAATTTCAGCTGCTCTGGACCATGTGTTGCTTCTCCATCCTGAGGGCAGTGCTTCTAATGGGCATCTACACACATTAGCGAGCTCTCTCCGTGAATGTCGGCAGAGACATGCAGGCACCAGTGGTTTGGATGAAGCCTTAAGAGACTCTGTTCCTGCCCAGAACAAGTCACTGGGACGCCCACATCTCCCCACACAACTCTTTCTGCTGCACCCCAGCCACCGAATCCCTCTGATGGAAGCGTTGCATGTCAGGATGTATGGGTTCGTTACAGGTGGGGACAACCTGCCACACTTGATCTTCAAGGAAATTAAACAGGCACAGAAACCAGAGTGGAGGGCAAACAAAGGTAACTGAGGGAAGACTAACCGGAACTCACACACATCATATTTACAGCTCCAAAGCCCTTTCCAAGGCACCCTTTTCTTGAATTCTTGTAACAGTCTCATGAGGCTTCTCTCGCTGTACTGTGGCTCTCCAACAGAGGCGGAAACAGGCTTGGGGGACTCCAGGCAGCTACTGGAAGCAACGAGGATCAGAGCCGGGACTTGCAGCCCAACCCAGTGCTAGCCCCTCGCCACTCACAAACCCCAGACCCCGCTTTCCCACACGGCTGTCTCAACTTTCTATTCTGCTTTGCATGGCTAAAATTTTATTCATTCCAGGTCAAAAAAAGAACTTGGAAAGCCAAGGTCCAGTATCTCCTGAAGTGAATAAAGTAATATGCTAAACCTGAATCATTTTTTATCAAGACTGAAATGTAGGGGATTATGAGCGGCCAGGGAAGGGGCGGGTAGGTGCACGCCCCCCGTACAAGTGCAGACTTGTGCTTGGCTTGTGTGCATGTGACGATTAATCACCATGGAGAAACTCCATACAGATTTTCAACAATATGCCAGTGAAAGCCCCAGGGGGATAAGGAGCAAAGCGGGGACCACTGGAAAAGCAGATTTTGAAGCTCTGTAACAGCATCATAGGACCCAGCTTGCAGCACGCAGCCCCTGGCAGGCTACCTCATTTGGCCACATAGGCAATTTGGTGGTGTGGGAAGAGCATTCTTGATTCACAGATGGGGAAGCCGAAGAACAGGGAGGGGACATAACTGTATCATCTGGAGAGGTGACATGAGTTGTCTGAGGTCCAGTTGAGTTCGGGGCCCCAGTAAACTACTCCCGGGCTGGGGTTGCTGGAGACGGAGCACCAGGCTCAGTCTCGTGCCAGAAGGAGGAAAAGCATCGCCGCCTTGTGACGGAAGGGAACCGGTGGGGGCAAGCCGAGTGGGACACGCGCTGCAGCCTGACCACCTGCTATGCACTGGGCTTCATATGAAATGTCCACAACAGCCTGGAGGGGGAGGCACCACCTCTCTTCCACTGAAGCAGGGGACGAGAGGACAGTAAGGCCAGAGGAATGACACTGAGAGCAAGAAGCCAAATCCGGCTACAGACAAAGCCCAGGCTCTCTTCTCAGGGAGCACAGAGCAAGGAAGACATATCCGCCCCAAATCTCTAGGGGCTGAGTGACCCAGCATGGAACGCGTCTGTGTGTGTTCACACGGGCACACAGACACACTCGTATACTCACACACAGTCACACACAGGGGCGCACATTCACACAAAGGTACCTTCATACACAGATACAGACTCACACAGACACACAGAAACACACTTACACATAGATTCACACACACAACTCACAGCAGACCCACAATCACACACACAACTCTTCAGCCTCACATCCGCGCTCCCACAATTCACCCAGGTACACACGCTCCCACCCCCACACTCAAGTACACACACTCACGTGGGTGTGCACACATTGTCTCTCTCAGGTCTCTCTTAGCCGCGCCCTCAGGGTTGGAACATTCTTAAGCTCCCAGCACAATCTGATGCCTATTTCAGGAAAGGCCAAGGCGCCAACATAGCCACCCACCAGCAATCAGGAAGCCAGCCCCGAGCGCATCGCCTGCAGCGACCAGTTTCTCAGGAATCTCGAGCGGGACCTGGAGAGGGTGGGTACCCTCCGCAGGGACACTTCCCGGGCAGGAGACCCTCCACCAGGGCACCGGGAGCTGCGTGGCTTGGCCACTACCCCTACCCCTCGGGAGCTACTTGGTGAGTATTGGCCATGCCCCCCAGGGGCAGGGAGACCGGCCTGGGCCCCCATGAGCAGCTGGGCACCTGGAATTCAGACCCATCAGGACCTCATCGGGACCCCAGTGGCCCCCAGGCATCCCCTACCTACATCCCCTCTGGCTCGCTCTGCTCTGCCCACAGGGACACCCCATGCCCTCTCACCGCCCACACCCTGGGAATCCTGCTCCCCTTGCAGGGCTCTCCCCAGACAGCCCTCCTCCCCTCAAGCCTCTCGCTGCTCCGCAGAGTCTGCATTAGTTGTTCCCTTGCTGCGCTCAGCAGCGTCTGCCTGCGCCACGGTTACAGCGTGTCTCACACGAGAGCGACTTGCCTGGGATGGTTTCAGTGGAGCTGAGCTCTAGCCCTCCCACCCCGGCCAATTAAATCAGCATTCCTGGGAGGGGTCCGGAGCCTCGGGGGCTTCTAAAGCCACCCAGGTCTTTCTGAAGCATGGGTCCTCGGCCTGAGGGGCTGAGAAGCATCATTTAGAAAGTCAAGGGGCTGGCTTTGGTGGGAGACACTGAGACCTAACAGCTGAGAAGAGCACACAGATGGCAGCCGTGCCCATCACGAGCTACGCCACCTCCAGTCCCCAGCCTCCGTTTCTGCATCTGTAGCAATGGGTTTAATTAGCAAGCTCATGTGAAGCACTTAAAGTGTCTCCCGAATGACAACCATTCAACAAATGGCAGCTGTCGCTCACAGAACAGCAGTGGCAGTGGGGAGTCTGAGGGTGGCAGTCTGTTTATGCCTCGCAGCGCCTCCTGCAGGTGGTAAAGGAGGACTACAAGAGCATTTTTTGAAAAATGGTTCCATTCTACAGAGAGAGCCAAGACCCGCCTGTGCCTATCTGGCCTCTTTTTCACATTTACAGTGTCTTTCAAGACTTTTCATTTCCTGCTGTAGAAAACTCTGTCCTCAGTCGCATGCTTTCAGAGACTCTCATTAAATCCATGAGTTATGGTCTCTGTCTGGGTTACACATTTCCTCAGAAGGGAAATAAGGTTTTTGCAGAGTTCAATGTTCAGCCCATTTTTAAACAAGAAGAAGGTCCCTAAACTGATTCCATGAGGATGCTGGAAAGCCAGAGGTTGGAATGACCTACTCAGAATAACAGGGATGTCCTCTCAGCTCCCTTATCACACATTACCCCAAGCCGAGACTGGCCCCCCACAATCTACCTGACGCCCACCCTGTGTGTCTGCCTTCTCCAAGATTCTGCAGGCATTCGGCCAATCACAAGCCTTCTGAGCACTACTATGTACATAATGCTCTGCAAGGTATGGCTGCAAAGGATGAGGGTGCCGCCCTCACAGAGCCCACCATCTCGTCTCGCAGAAGAAAAT